AATAAAGTCATTATAATCAGAAGCGAAACGATGGTTATTTTGAAATTTCCAAAGCTAAAGAATACTTTTAAAACAACAAATACAACAAAAAAATATAGGGCAAAATCCAAAACAACACCCACTTGACAATACAACCTCTCACAATGTAAATAATAATTTTTCACAACCAACAAAATCACAACAGCAACAGCCACAACATCAACAACAGCAACATCAACAACAGCAACACCAACAACAACAATACCAACAAAACCAACCACAACAACACCAACAACAACAACAACAACCACCACAAATAAAACAACCACAACAAGAATACCAATCATTTATTGCAAAACCTGTTGCAAGAAGAGGACTTTCACAATCACCAGAATTCTCAATTTCCCCACCCTTTGATATTCCCAGAAATATAACAAGATCACCCACACCAATACTATTAGATGGTAATAATACCGGAGGAAGAAATATTAAAATTAGTGGCGATGAAGACTCACCATTCTCTTCCCCAACTTATAAAATGATGGAATCACCTTTCCAATCAACCGCCCCAAATAATAACAATAACAATAATAATAATAACAAAATAAACTCTTCACCATTATTCCCAGGTGTTAAAAGTCCATTTAAAAACAATGAACACAGAGAAAGAGATTATAATTATGAAATTGATTCATTTTTTAGAACAAATAATAATTCCAATAATAATTTATCAAATATTTTAAATAATAATAATAACAATAATAATAAATAAAGAAAAAAACACCCCTTGAATATTTTTAAAAATATTAATCAAAGATTTAAAAACTACAATTAATAATTTCCAAATTGATATAAAATAGGAAAAACAAATTTGTTACTACACACACTTTCGACACAGTTTAGACGCTAGCGCCACACAAAAAATTTTAATTATATTATAGAATTGTTATAATATATAGAAATCATTTTAAAAAGATAATAAACAAATTAAATCTACCAAACCAAATTGGTATTGTTCCTAAATATAACCCAATATCTCTTTTTTTTTTTTTTTTTTAATTTTTTTTTTTTTAAATATTAAACAATGTAAATTGGTAGTTAAAAAAAAACAGGATACTGCTATAAATACCATATGTTTATTTTTGATTTTTTTAATTTATAAAGTGGGGTACTAACAATATTGTTTTATTTTGGAAATATATGGGGGAGTGGGCCAAAAAAAAAAAAAAAAAAATTTATTAACACACATTTTTAACACACTCTCACTCTTTCAAATATAAACCTTATTTATAATAACCACCATTGACCACACTATCAGTTGATAATTACATATTAAAACTGGTATATCTATATTTTTTCCCACACAAATACCAACTTCATTAAGTTAAAATAATATTATTCACCTTAGAGAGAATGAAATATTTCAATGATATTAAAAAGTGGGTGTGTGTTAAATTTTTTATTACCCAAAATAATATTGACTACAGCTATTTTTTATTTCCTTAAAAAAATATTAACAGCCAATGGTAACAATGTAATTTATAATAATCATATTATATAAATATACAAATATAAATGTTATATATATAATTATATCATTTTTTAAAAAATTTAAATTAATATTTAATTTATAAATTATTTTTTTTTTTTAATTTTTTTTTTTTTTTTTTATCTTTTAAATTCATTACTTTATTATTTATTACTTTTAATAATTCACTCCATATTAAATATTAATTTATTTTATACATTCGTAATAATTTATATTTTAAATAAATAAAAAAAAAATTATCATATCATTAAAAATATTAATATTATTATAATAATAATAAAAAAATAAAAAAATGATTAAAAAAAATATAATTTTAATATTTATTTTATCATTTTTATTTTTATTTGTGTCATCTAATTCAAATTTAGACTCCACTGGCCAAGAAATACCAAACAATAGTTTATCAAACCAAACTATTCCAAATAATTCAAACTCCTCTATAAATCCAAATCCAACTCCAACTCCAACTCCAACTCCAACCCCAACTCCATCATTCGAAACACCATCGCCAACTACTCCCTATGAAGATGGCAAAATGAAACTACTTGTAAACGTTTATTCAAATATAAACTATACTATTGGATCTCAATGTGGCCAACCAGGACAACCATGTAAAACTATCTATGATGCAATTAAATCATACAACGACTTTAAAAAACAAAACCAAGGTATAGATATTACAATGTTAGAAATATATTTAGTAAGAGGCTTTTATTTAAAATCTTCATTTGAAGAAGTTGCTACCAATATAAACTTGTATGATTTAAATGTTAATGTTTCAATTATTGGTGAAAGTTCTGGTGAAGTAATTATCCAAGGCAATGAAGTAGTAAACCCATTCATCACAATAAAGTCCAAAGAAAATGAAAAAGTAGAAAACCGTATATTTGAATTCCACAACTTAACCTTTGAAAACTGGAATGAAAAAGAAATGTTTATTATGGACACCCTAAACGAAAAGTTTGACCAAACCGCAGTAGGCTCCTCAAACCCAGTCTCCAATTCTAGTAACGATGGTGTTGTAAAGGTTAAATTTTCAAATATTGAAATTAGACAAACCAATTCAAATAAACAACTTGTTATCGCTAAAGGTAGAAATAACTCATTAGAAGTTTTATTCGAAAAGGTTTCGATTGTATACACAAATAGTATTAATCATATCTATTTAAAGGGTGCTATTTTTAAATTTGATAGATTATCTGCCAATTTCCTCAGATCATCCAATGCTTTTGTCCATTCAGAAAACTCTGTAGTTGTTGCTGTAAATTCTCTTTTCAACTGTATTACATCCAATAGTGGTGTCTTTTATTCATTAAACTCATCTCTCGAAATTAATAATTCCCAATTTACCTCCAACTATGGTACCTTTGCATCTGTTATCAACTACATGGCTCAAGATCATAAACTCAATGTCTCAGATTGCCATTTCGAAAGAAACCTTGTAATTAATAGTGGTGAAAATGGTGGTAGCTCTATAATTATGGTAAAGAGAGAAAGAGACGAAAATAAAGAAAAAGCAGCAACAAGTCCAAAGAAAAGAGCAGATGTCGTTAGAAATAGCTCGAACAAATCCTATTTTTACAACTGTGTATTCCAAAACAACAATACCCCAAAAAATCAAAACTCTGGTTTAATCTTTGCATTCAATGTTCAAATGTTTTTAGATAAATGTAAATTCTTTACAGATTCTCAAAATGATCATGGACCAAATATTATTTCCCGTTACTCTCATTTCGAATTAGAAAACTGTACAGTTATTGATAACAAAATAGAACATAACCAAATAACTGCTTTCTATGCCCAATATTCATCATTCAAAATCATCGCAACTACTATTCAGCCCCAAAACGTACCACATGTCTTCTGTGAAAGCTCCGTATTTGAATTAGACTATAGAACTGACCTCAATGCATCACAATTTGTTTGTAATAATATTCACGATATTAAGTATAACTCGTCTTATATCGATATGGATGCATCTAAATTAAACTCTTACTATTGTGAAATATTCCAAGTTGAAGAGGAAGGAAATAAACCCACCAAGTTTAACGAAATTTGCACCAACAATCCAAGATCAAAATATCATTACGAAATCAAATTAACCAAAGCTATTATTGCCATTATCGTAATTCTTTGCGCATTCTTAACCGTAATTCCAGTATTTATATTAGTAAACAAAATCTACAAAGCTTTATACAAAGGATACAGACCACACAACGACCACGCAGATATTGAAGAGTTTAATATTCATCATACTCCAGATGGTGATGATTCAGATGATTCAGATAGTGGTAGTAATAATATAAACAACAACAAATACCAAAAGAGCAAATTAATTGATCAAAAACAAAATCAAATTAATGATGGTTTTCATGAAGTTCTTTATGACGAAGAAATACCATCAAATAAATCCCTCTTAGGTGGTCATTCAGTTAATTAAAAAAAAAATTAAATCAATTATAAAAACAATAATAATAAATAATAAATAATAAATAATAAATAATAAATATTTATTATTTTTTTTTTTAAATAAATAAATATAGTATTTTTAATTATATTTTTCCTTTTTTATTTTTTGTGCCAATTGTTGTGAAATTACCCCGCGCACAATTTGACCGTTAAAAATTATTTTTTTTTTATTTTTTATTTATTTTTTTTTAACACATTTCCTATTCATTGTAATTATTTAAATAAAAAACTTTTTTTCTTTATATTCATAATTTTTATATATATTAAATTATTTTATTGTTTTTTCATTGTTGATTAATTATTTTTTTTTTTTTTTTTAAATTTTTTTAAAAATTTTTTTTAAATTTTTTTTTTTTCATTTTTTTCATTTTTTTCATTTTTTTTTTTATTATTATTTTTTATTTTTTTAAAAATATTATTTATTGTTTTTTTAAATTAAATTTAAATTTATAAATAGATTAAAATTATTTTTCAAAAAAGGGATGAGCAAATCAAGTGAACAACTACATTCACTCTGTGAACTTGGTAAAAAAGAGGAAGTCATCGAATTATTATCAAAAGGAGATCAAGACGTCAATCAAAAGGATCATTCCCACAGATATCCACTTCACTATGCAGCAATTGGAGGTTATACAGAAATCGTAGCATTACTTTTAGAAAAGGGTGCTACTGTAAATTGTTCAACACCACGTGGTGCTACACCACTTCATTATGCAAGTAGAGGTGGTCATATTACATGTGTCAAGCTTTTAATTGAAAATGGTGCAGATGTAAATTGTAAAGATCATTCTGGAAATACCCCCTTACTTACTTCACTTACCTATAACGAATTTAAATGCGCCAAAGCTCTCATCGAAACTTACAATGCTGATGTCCAATTAACAAATACTGAAGGCTCAACTCCATTACATATAGCAACTTTAAGAGGTTGTGTGGAAGTTATAATCTCACTATTAGAACATGGTGCAAAATACGACACAAGAGATCCAAAAGGTACTACAGCAATATCAACATTAAATTTTAATAGTTTCGAAGGTAAGCACTATGGTCACTCACTATATTATATCAATATTTTTATTAATTTTAAAAAGTACAATTAACTAAATATATTTTGTTTTTTTAGATAAAATTAATTTAGATAAAGATACTTTTTTAAATGATATTTCAAAATTATTTGAAATAAATAGAAATAGAGAGTTTAGTAATAGTAATAATAATAAAGAAGAAGACGAAATGAAAGTTGATAATAATAATAATAATAGTGAAGAATGTTTTTCAGATTTAGAATTTTTAGTAGAGGATAAAAAAATCTATTCACATAAATGTATAATTTTCTCAAGATGTCCAAATTTATTAAGAAATAATAGCAGCAGCAAAATAACAATCAAAGATGTATCATATAAATCATTTTTATCATTTATCGAATGGATTTATACAAACAATATAGAGTCACTAAAGCAAAATGAATCATCAATCGCTCTTGTTGATTTATCATTAGCATTTTCAGTTTTATTGTTAGCCGATAAATATGACGTTAAATCCTTATTAGCCTACACCCAAGAATATATCATCGATAATGTCACTGAAAGCAACATCAGCTCAATTTGGCCAGAAATTAAAAAGCTATCTTTATCAACTCGTAAAAACATTCCAACTTTAGTTCGTCATTGTTTCGTGACTATGAGCAAAGGATGGAATATAATCACTACATCAAAATCATTTTTAAATGAAACTTCAAATAATGATGTCATCGAAATCATTAAAACTTTAGAACCATATATCTTAATTAACAAAACTGAAAATAAACGTGCTGCCAATGCCACTACAACTTCTGCTTCAAATGCTACATCTTCAAATGCCTCTAATAAAGCCAGTACACCTGCTAAAAGTAGTCGTTCTACCACAACCAATGCCACTACACCATCAAAATCAACCTCAACTACACCATCAAAATCATCAACCTCAGCCACACAGAATAGTTCTGTAACTCCATCAAAATCTGCAACATCTGCATCATCATCATCAACAGGTTATAGCGAACAAATGAATGAAAAGAATAGAAACTTATGTAAAACTATTTTAAGTCAAATCTTTAAAAAGAAAATATCCTATGCATTCCAACGTCCTGTCGATCCAGAACTTGAAAATATTCCAGATTACTTTGATATCATCAAGAACCCAATGGATATTAGCACCATTGACTCCAAATTAGATAACGAAAAATATGGAACCATCAAAGATTTTGCTGCTGATGTTAGATTAATGTTTGAGAACGCCTTAACTTATAATGCAGAGATTTCACCAGTTTATAAATATGCAAAACAACTTTTGACCTATTTCGACAATTCATTTATAAAAAATTACCCAAATGAAAAGATTCCAACTTATAAATCATTAAATCCAGCTCCAGCCGCAGCACCAGCCCAACCAAATAGCAGCAGTGGTTCAGCAAATACACCAAACAAAAGAAAATTGGATAGTGACATCAAAGTAAAGGAAGAAACTTCAACTGCTACAACATCATCTTCAACTAACGATTCCAAATCATCATCACCTCCTGCAAAGAAATATTCTGACGATGAAAGAAAGAATCTTATGGAAAAAATCAATGAATTATCAGCCGAGGATGTTCAAACAGTATTATCAATCATTGACCAATCTGCCATTAACCAAAGCGATGAAAGTTTAGAAATTGATATGTATAAAATTGATGATAAGAATTTAAGACAAGTAGAACAATTTTTAAATGAATGTTTCAAAAAGCAAAAAAAATAGTCAAATAATAATAATAAAAAAGATTTAAAAAGAATAAAAAATTTAGGAAAATTATAATTATAAAATTATTAAATTAAGTTTTTTTTTTCTTTTTTAATATAAAAAAAGAAATCTTGTTTTAATTTTTATCAGATAACATGTGTGTTATTACATTCTAAAGGAAATACTTTATTGTTATTTATTTTTTGTTATTATTATTATTATTTACATTTGGTTCTTTATAGTATGTTAACTGTCTTGATCTACTCTATGAGATATGGGAACAAATCACAGAATGTTTTATTTTTCTTGTTAAATTCCATACTTTTAGAGGCCAATAATCTTTTTTCATCATTGGTTGTTAATATGCTACCTGCAGTTGGTTCGTTTTCGTTCATAAATGATAATAAACCTATCAAAATACCTCCAACTGTCCAAGAGGGTAACCAACTCTCTTTGTGATAGTCAGAGTTTGATAAACATATTCTTTTATTGGTTTCAAATCTGCCGCTGAAATGAGAAATATAATTAGAATTTTTTTTTAATTAAAAAGAAAACCAATAATATGATTATAGTATTTACCTTGGTGTTGTCATTATAATTGATGGTGGTGATAAAGGAAAGTCATAGTTAAAAATAAGTTGACCATAAAACACTCCACCCTCGTATGGTGTATTAATGCTACCCAATAATACATAGTGCCATTCCAAAATATTTTCTTTATGTGGACAAACTAATATATTATCGATTGGGTTCTTTGATATTTCTAAAAATTCTTTTTTTAGCCTGCTCTGTAAATTAATTAAAATATTAGATTAACAATAATTTTTTTATTTTTTATTTGATTTTTTTGAATTTATGTTGTCGCGATTTATAACAAACCAAAAACAAATAAATGTTTTAAAATCAAACAAATTTATATATTTAACAAGTTACTTACAAGGCATTCTTTAGTTGGTGGATGATGGATTTGTTTATTTGGTTCTGACATTTTAATTCTATTTTCCTTTCTCTCTTTTTATCCTTCAAACTGTATAGTTGCTCTATTTATTGCAATATTTTTATAGACACTTGTTATTAAATAAATAAATTTAAAAAATAAAAAATAAAAATAAAAAAAATTGAAATTTTTTTTTAATATATAATATTTTTTTTTAAAATTAAAAATAAAAATAAAGAAATAATTTTAAAAAAAAAAATAAAAAAAATGAATGAAATAAGAATAAAATAAATATAATAACAAATAGTATTATTGTGTGTAAAGAAACTTTAATAAAATAAAAAATTAAAAAAAAAAGAAAAATAAAATAAAATAAATATAAAATAAAATAAAATAAAATAAATTAAAATTAATTTTAAAAAAAAAAAATTTTTTAACTTTTGCAATGATAAGTATTTCCAAAATAAATAAAAAAAAAATAAATAAAAAAAAATAAATCTTGATTTTTTTCAAATAATCTATTTTAAGATTAAAAAAAATAAAAATTTACATTTTATAATAAATGTATATATAAATATTAAAATTTTTATTATTTTTACCACCATGAATTACCTCTTAAATTCATTCTTGAGAAAATACCTTGTGGCTCAGAACCTTCAGGAAGAACATTTGCAATAACAGCTTTGGTTTGTTCAATTTGTTGATTGATTTGAGTTTTATTTACATCAGTTCTTTGAGATAAAACAGCTTCAACAATTTTTTCATTGATATCTTTATGGAAATTGATAATTGATCTAAAATAAATTGGGGTCATTTCAATATCAGAAGTGATCATTTGTTTAAAGTCTTCTAAAATTTGTACCTTTGCTGTTACTACTGATAATCTAAGATATTTCTTGAAGAAATCCAAAAGTTTATCGCAATCATTTGACATAATTTTATAAAATTGATCATTAAATTTATTTCTACCACAAATTAATTGAGTTAAAACCCTAAAAAAAAAAAAAAAAAAAAGATTAATATGTGAATATCTATAAACAATGTGTTTGATTTTATCTTACCTTTCAATTAAAATATCTAAACATAATAAACTTAATCTTTTTAAATAGTTTTCTAAAATGAATTTCTGAATATCGTTTACAAAGTAATCTTCAAAAGTATTTATAATTGGTTGCATTAAATCCTCTTGATACCAATCTTGAGTAAAGAATTTACTAATACATTCATCTAAATCTCTAAAAATTACACTTGAAATGGCCTGGGTGGCAACCTTTGAAACATTTAAGAAACCTTCTAATACTGGATCGAAATCGATTAATGCCATATGTTCGCTATCTAAAATATTTGAAACTTTATCTACAATAGTTTGGGTGTGATCGTAACATTTACTATTGTTATTAACGTATGCTATAAGATTCTCTAATTTGATTTCGTGATTACGTTCTTGTAAGAGTGTGATGGATGAAACTTGGAAATAAAGTAAAGCAGATACTACCTCTTCGATTACACCAACAACCAGTTTTTGGCACTTTGTTGCATTTGCAATATCCAATTGTGATGCTACTGATTCAAAGAGTTGAATTGGTGCTAATGAACAGTATTGACCATCTACTACATCCGGTTTATTTTGGTTGTCATTGTTAATAATATTATCGCACCAATCCCTCATTAAAGATTTAATGTGGAATTTATAAATTTTAATTAATGGGTCCAAGGCATCTAAAAGAGGTGGTGATATATCTTGAATACCTAAACGTGAAAGATCACGACTATAGTTTTTAACGACCCATTCAACCAACATTAAAATATGAGCTGATGGAATTTGTCTTGCCAAGTGCTCTCTATTGGTGACGTTGGACTCCACAATCTTTGAAAATGAACCAAACAATGAATAGAACTTGGTGTGGTATTGATCGACATAGTAATTGAAAAGATCGTAAGATGGTGGGTAGCATTCTTGAACTGTATCCATAACTACAAATAACTCTTCTACCATTTTATTGACATCACGTAATGTTGAAACCAAATCGGTGTGACTATTTAAAAACATAGGTTCGAAACGACTAGAGATTGACAATGAAAGTACTTCGAAAAATCTATCACCATAGCTGCTACGATTACGATCATAATCTTCACCACCTGCACCATTTGAATCTATACCCTCACTTGATACCAATGATATATTTGATTTCTTTTTTTCACGTTGTTGTTGTTCATAAATCTTTTCTCTTTCAATAATTTGTGCTACCTTGACTAATACTGCTGGTTTTTCCTGTGCAACTGATACAGATTTTCCTACAAGATCCCAAATTTTATTTTCAAATCTTAAACTGAGCTCTGGCACTGAAGAAAACATATCTTTTATAGCCTCAAGTTCTTCAAAATTTGATTCAAATTGTTTTAATGCTTTTTGATGTAATCTTTCCAACTCTCTAATCTTTTTATGAATTAATAATAAATTTAAATCGTCTGATAATAGTTGCTCGATCTCTGCTGCTTTCTCGGGAATCGTTAATAATCTGTCTACTTCTTTTAAAATATTTGTTAGATTAACTCTAACCGTATTAACTTTTTTAATTAGTGAATAATATCCAATTAAATTTGCTGTTTCACTACATAAAACCTCTGTATCTGTAAATGATTCATCCATTTTATTAATTCTATTATATGATTTATATAAAGTTTCTAAACCTTTTTTTGATTTTTCTAATTCTGACTAAATAAATTAAATTTAAACAATGTTAATATTAAACTGTTAATTAAATTATACTATAACATCTATATACTTACATGAACTTCATTTTTAATTTGTGCCTCTATAGTTTTCTTTTGTTGTATTAATGATATTTTATGATTTGTGACAGATGCTAAACTATCTATATTTGAAAAATGTGCTTCAATTTTTCTAATTGCTTCTGATTGTGCACTTGAATCATCCAAACCTTCTAATGGTACTAATGATGTTTCCATTTTAAAAATATAGATAGTTTATTTATTTTTTATTATTATTTTATTTAAAGATTTATTAATTATAATATTACAACACTATTATTTTTGATTACTTTGTGTAATTTAAAAAAATAATTTAATATGCGAAAAAAAAAAATAAAATAATAATAATTATTAAAAAAAATTAAAGTTTTTTTTTTTGATTTTTTTTTTTTTTTTTTTTTTTTTTAAAAAATAAAAAAATAAAATAAAATTCAAATATTTAATTGTTTAGTTTTTTCAAATCATTTTAGTATAGTGTGTTCCTTTTTTAAATTAAATTGTTTTACTAGGAAATAAATTACAAATATGCACACAAATAATATATATTTAACTTCATAATAATTTTATTAAATAATTAACATGTAATAAAAAATGTCAATATAACCCCAATCATAATATTTCTATTTTTATTCAATATCTTTAACAATAAAGAAATAAAGGTAATACTTTCAATCCCACACATATAAAAAAAATTATTCGATGATCTTTTAAAATTTTTTTAAATAAATGATTAATCATATTTTTATATAAAAAAACAAGATATATACATAATATTACATATACACATAAATTTCTTATTTTTTTTAAAACTCATATGAAAAACTCACAATTTTATACAGTTTTTTTTTTCATTGTGGGTTAATTTATATCTTAATACTAAAAAGATATATCTTGGCCATATAACAACAACATGGTAATTATTTATTTTATCATAATTTCAAGATATAACAACATAACTAATAAATTATTGCTTTATTTTTATAGGTATAAAGAATTTAAATCCTAATTCAAAAACACCAGATAGAAAAAGGAAATTAATATTACTAATTGAAATTAGTAGAAATAAAACATTTTTTTTTTAAAAAAAAAAATGAATAAATTAAATTTTTTTTTATTTTTTTCACATTCAAATATTCAGTTTTTATTTATTTATTTATTTATTTATTTATTTATTTATTTATTTATTTATTTATTTATTTATTTTTGTTTTTTTACTCTTTTATTTAAATATTTATTTTATTATAAAATTTATTTATTTATTTATTTATTTCAAAAAAAAAAAAAAATGTTTAATAAATTATTAAAAAGATCAACAACAAAATTAAATTTAAAAAATAAAAATAATAAAAAAGAAGATAAAGAAACAAAGAAAAGAAATGAATATTTGAAAAGTATAAATAATGATAAAAAGCAAAATGGCGAAATAAAAAGAAGCGAATCATTTTATAAATTAAAAAGAACCTCGTCAAATATAGGAAGTGTTATTTATAAATCAATCGACAATATTTCCACCCCAACCAATATTATGTTTTGTAGAAGTACCAGTAGTTATAATATAATTAGTGATAATAACATAAACACCGATGTTGACGAAGATGATTATGATTATGATTATAATGATAACGATATCATTAGTAATCATAATAGTAGTAGCCACGATATTAAAAATACAAAAGAATTCGAAAAAATCAAAAACTCCATTTATGTTTCAAAAATGTTTAATTTTTATTTATTATAATAATTATTATATTTAATAATAATAATGATAATAAAAGTAGTAATAAAAATAAAATAAAAATACGATAACGATAGAATTATAATAAAATTTAATTATTTTAAATATTTTTTAAATTAAATATGGATTTTTATTTATTTTTTAATTTTTTTTTTTTTAATTTTTTTTATCTTTATATTTATTTTTAATTATTACTTTAAAGTCCATGCGCACATGTCCAAGATGTGCCATAACATTGTATACCTGCAAAAGAAACAAATTATTTATTATAATTTAAGATATGTGTGTGGGTTAGTGTGTGCAAACTATATATAAAAAAATAAAAAAAATAAAAAAAAAAAAAAAAAAAAATAAAAAAAAAAAAAAAAATAAAATAAAAATAAATAAAAATATAAAAAATATTTAAATAAAGCTCAAATCGATTCGTCAAAAAAATTATAATAAAATATTTTAATTTTAAAAATTATTTATATTTTCATTTTAATTTTAATTAAATTTATAAAAAAACTAATTAATAAAAAATTTTCAAATAAAAAAAAAAAAAAAAAAAATATAAATATCATTTAAAAATTTTTTAATTAAACAATTAAATATAAATAAAAAAGTAGCAATAACAACTAATAATAATTTTAAAACATAAATATAATTTATACATATATATACATTTATACATTTTAAAAAATATCTCTTTTTATAAAAAAAAAAATTAATAAAATAAAATAAAAAATGGAAGTAGAAAGTAATAATAATATTATAAACCAAAAAAATGAAATTAGAAAAGAATGTTTACAGATTTCATATGAAAACCCTGATACATTTATTAGATACTTACCAAAGGATATAGAAAAGTACAACGAAAATGAAATTAGAGACTTTTTATTAAAGGTATACCATGAGAATAATAACAGCCAATGCAAAGCCAAGAATAAAATAGACTTATTAAATAGATATTTAATACCATTAAATAAAACCCATCCACAATTAATAACCAACGAACTAATTAAACAAGTATTAAGTGACTATGTACCAATTGTATTACCAAGATCCATTATTGTAGAAAATAAAAATCAAGATCTATCAAGATACTGGAACCTTTATATTAGCTTCAATGTTGATGGATTTTTAGAGAAACTCGTACAGCATTTAAAGCAACTCTATCAAACTATTAAAACCCCCAATTTCGAACAATACCAATACATGATTAAATACTATAAAGCTGTATATCCAACCCTTAACAAGGAAATGTTCGAGTTTAAAGATTACTACTGTTCAATGATAAATAACTATTATAAAAATAATATCAACACTGCAGACCATAAAAGCCATGGAGAAAACTCAATCAAAATGATGTTAGAAATATGGTACTCTTATTTGTGTCTTTGTGGTGATCAAAATCAAAATCAATTGGAATTTGCAACATTTTTAACCAAACAACTCAAAGGTGTACATTTAGTTGACTTTATTTGTTTATTCAATAGAAATTATTTTGACAACCCTACCTTTAATATGGATGCTTTTGTTTTATTGGTGGCCTCACTATTTGACAACAACGATGAACAAAACAAATCCTTTTTGCAATCGTTCAATGATGAACACAAAAAAAGTACATTATTAGAAATTTTTAAAAATCCAAAATTAAATCAATTTTCCAAATTATTAAATAAATAGACAATTATTATATATTTATTAATTTTTTTTCACATTTGTGATATTTTTAAAAAATTATTTTAAAAAAATTTAATTATTTCTTCAAAATATCTATTTTTTTTATTAATTTTTTTTTATTTTTTTACCAAACCCACTTTTTTTTAAAATTTTTTTTTTTTAAATTAAATTTCTTTCATCACCAAAAAAAATAATTTGTATTAATAATAAAAATAGTAATAATAAAAATAATAAAATCTCTAATAAAATAAAATGAATATAAATAATAACATAACTTTTAATGAAAATAATGAATCAATTTTTTTTAAAGTTTTCAAAAATAAATTTTTATTTACTTATATTTTCGAAATGTTTAAATCAATTCCGTTAGATTATGAAAATTTAAAAATTTATAAAACTCGTTACAGAATCAAATGGAGAGACATCACATCAATCGATTGGATGGTAGAAAAGAACCAATGGCAATTATTAAAGTTAAAGTTAGGTTGTGAAGAAATTGAAAATTTAAAGAAACCAAATTCAGAACTTTCAATAGATAAAATATTAGAAACACTAAAAGGAAACGAGACATACGATCAACCCATTTTAACGTTATTTTTTAGAAATTCATTTTTTTTAAATTTTAATATTGTTAATATAATTCAAAAGTGCTGTCAATATGGCAACTTATTAGCATTATCAATTATATTGAGGGAGTGTCATCAGCAACATCTATTCAGTCTAGATCTAAAGAATCTAATATTTGAAGCAGTCCATTTATACAATGGCCAAATACTAGACCACTTGACAAAATATATAATTAATAACAATAACAGTAATAATAACAATAACTCTATTGAAATTTTTACTAAAGAAGAAAAATTAATAATTTTTAAAAAGGCCTCAGAAAATAATGATAGTATACCTATAATAGAGTATCTATTTAACAATAGAGATATATTTCAATTACATGATTACTTTCTCTATCAAAAAATACCATTTTCATTTATAACCAAAACTAATAATAGCTCACTTTTATTAAAATTATTAAATAATGACCTAATAGAAAGAAAACCAATAGAGAAATATTACAACTTTCATTTATTAAATAATATTGATAGCATAACAATAGAAAATATTATAACTTCAATTTATATCACTTTTAAATTACTAAATCAACATTCAAGATATAACCAACTACCAAAACATATCCTCGAAAAAATTAATAATATTACAACAACAAATGAAATCACAACCAATCAAGACAACTCGAAAATAAAACAACTTTTAGAAATATTGGTAAATGAAATATTCTATACCAAAAATTGTGAATTTTTACCATCAGTTTTATCGATTTATTCTCCAGATTTTACCAATGTACAATGGAAATATTTTGACCGTTTACCATTTGAAAAATGGGTGTTTGAAAATTTGAATATTAATGGTTTAGCATTATTAATCAAAAATGACTTTTTAGTGCAATCTAAAAGAAAGGATATAATAGAGGAAGTGTATTCAAATAAAGAAAATATTGTAGGCTTTACAAGATTATTAATTTCAAATCATAAAAAAAACGAAAACTCAATAACATACGAATTCTTTTTATTTATTTTGAATATTTGCAACAACGAACAACTCAGAGAAATATTACAAGATAACGAATTTAAAGAATTTTATTCAAAGCATAAAGGAAACCGTAAACAAATTCTAACCATCAACTCTGTAGAACAATTAGATTTAATTTTGCAATTTAATTTTGAAAACTATGATAGTTTGGATACCCAGTCATTGGATGTGATCCAAAGTTTGGCTTTAAGAATCGACCGAGAAATCTTCAACCCATCTGTGCTTATTTTGAAACTATTGTTTCATAATAAAAAAAACCAACCAAACAAATCATTTTATGAGGGTATTTCGAACATGGACTCACAAATAGACTACAGTACTACAGATTTCTCAAGATTAGGTTTGCATTTACTAGTCCCTCTTTTCAATTACCTTAACCAAATGTCTAAACCAACAATTTTCCATATTACATTAATCTGTGGTATCGATTTAATTATTCAAGAATACTCTTTTAAAGAATTTGAAAAACACATTAAATTAACAAATGCTATGTCACTGTTCTCAAGTTCATATCATTCTTTGGAGAAATTATTTTATAAATCAGTATTTCAAAATAAATTTAATAATGTTAAACTATTAATCGAACACTGCCAACTCCCAATACATGACAAATTTTTAAAAGGATGTGGTATCCATCCACATAGACTATTCAAACTGGCTGAGGAGAATACCCTAAAGTCAAGATATCACTTTAAAGATATTTATCAAATACTAGAATATCTCTTACAGAGGATACCAATCGAAAATAATAAAGTATTTTTAGAATATCTTTATATATTCACTCTGCAATCAAAGGGCATTACCATTCAAGATGTTGTAAAAATAGAAAAAATGTACAGAGATTTATTTATAGTTCTTAATTATGAAAGCCTTCATACATTTTATTATTTATTAATCAAATCCCCAATAATAGCATTTTCAATCGTTAGTAAACATTACCTCTGTTCAAATAAATACAGAAATATAATTGACATCTTATTCATAAAAGACTCTATTCCAAAAATATCTCTTTATAATATCAGAAAAAAATCCACCCCTCAATTAATGGAGCTATTAAATTTAGAATTAAAATAATCAATTTGGTATATTGTTTTTTTTTTTTTAAATAAATATAATAAAAATTAAATTAAACACACACTGCGGGGTTATTTTTCTATTTTTTTTTACAATTTTATTTTTTTATTTTTTTTATTTTATATTTTATTTTAATTTATTTATTAATGTTTAATAATAAGTTGTAGATATTACAATGAAATTATAGGTATTCTAAAAATAAATAATAAAAAAAACTTCACTTTTTAATTTTAAATAAAAATAAAAAAATAAAAAAAAATAAAATTTTTAATTTCAAAAAAAAAAAAATTAAAAAAAAAAAATTTTAAAAAAAATATTTTTCATTTATTTATAACAAAATATTAGTTTATACTATAACAATAAAATAAAATAAAATAAACAATAAAATAAATCACAAATGACATTACCTGCAAGATCAACTAGAGGTAAAAGAACAGTTGAACTATCAGTAACTGAAGAAGAATTATGGAATCAATTACTTAAAGAAACTGATAATGAAAAAGAAGATCCAGATTTCGAGAGCGAAGAGGAAGAAGAGGATTTAGATATTGCATCAGATGCTGAATCTAGCGAGGAAGAAGAAAATGATGGAGAAAATGATGTTGATGGTGAAAAAGAAAGTAAAAAGAAATCTTCAAAATCATATAAAGACCCAAAAGCAAAGAAATCAAGCAGTAAAAAGAAATCTGCAACTGGTGATGAGAAATCTTCAATGGAGACCGAATTAGAAAAGCATTTATCTACCTCTGATGGCACCATTAATAAAAGAAAAAGAAAAGACTCCTCATCTCCACCAAAAACACCAACTCAATCTGAACCAACATCACCACCAACAAGAAGATCATCACAAAGATCATCAGCCATTGAACAATTACAAAAAACCAATACAGATAAATCAAGAAATAAAAAAGCAAAAACCGATGATGAAAATGATGACACTCAAAAAAGCAACACAACAGTTTCACCAATCTCTACAAGACAGAAAAGATCCACAAGAACCTTAATGCAATCACCACCCATCACCACAAGATCAAGAAGATCAAATAAAAAAGAAGAGGAAGATAATGAAGATTATTCAGGTATCAAGGTAAATACAGTAGAACTATATGGAATGACCCAAAAAGAATTAATTCAGGAAACTAAAGAAACTGAAATCTATAATATAGAGTCTCTAAATTTTTTAATGCAAAAGGAAGAAGATAGAAAAAAACTACACCAAGCTAAGAAACCAATTATAACAGGCCCAAGAATTATATATAAGTCAAATGGAGATGGTTCAACTATAACATTTACAGACTCAATACTACCTGAATGTTTCACAGACAATAACAAAGATAGCAAACTAACTACAGCACCAACACCCAAAAGAGGAGGCATTGTAGATCAAAGAAAAAAGAAAAGAAGATCAACAAATAGCGATGATGTCACCGCTATTGAAAATAAACAAAAAACTGATAATATATCAACAAATCAAATAGACTCCACAAGTACAACAGATTCCTTACCAAAGAAAATAGTTGAAATTTGTGTTATTACAGGTTTACCAGCCAAATACATTGACCCAGAAAGCAAACAACCCTTCGCAAACCTTGAAGCTTATAAAATTATAAAAGAAAAGAAAAGACTAGATGAACAACAAAAATTAGAAACTAAAAGAAGACCTGCTGTAACACCAGCAACACCAACATCAGCATCAGCGACATCAACAACATCAACAACAACATCAACATCAACAACATCAACACCAACAACAACCGCCTATTCTTCAACCCACACCACCTCTCATAGTAGTCATAGCCACAGTGGCACCGAAGAAAGAAAAAGAAAAAAAAAATCATCGAGCCACAGCAGCTCATCAAGTCATACAACAACACATTCCAATCCATAATAAATCACCTCATAAATAATAATCAAAACCAAAACCTGTATATAATAATAATTTAGATTTCTAAATAAAATAAATTTATAAATTTAAAAAAAAAAAAAAGGAAAAAAGAAATTAAATTACAAATCTGTAAAACTATTTTATTTTTTATTACTATTTTATTTTAATTTATTTTTTAATTTATTCTTTTTGATCTTCTTCATCTTCCTCTTCTTCTTCTTGATCTCCAATTTCTTCATCATTTATATTACTATTTTTAAATTCTTTTTCGAGTTGTAAATTTCTGAAATATTCATATTTAAAATAAATTAAAAGTAATTGTACAAATTCGATTTCTTTTTTTTGCTTTGACATTATATTTGAAAAATCCAAAGCAGATGCAAATTTTGGTAATTGATTATTTCCGCTTCCATTTTCTAAATCAATTGGTTTGAACAAAGATGGTGTTATAATTTTAGATAAATTTTCAATTGTTATTTTGGTTTTTTGAACATTTTCATCTTGTAACATTTCACCAAAAAATAAACCTATTCTATATAATACAAATTTATGTTCATCTGGTTTTACCATTTCTAAAATACTCCTTATTGTTTCTTCAATTTTTTCTATTTCACAACTATTACTACTGCTAATGCTACTATTACAACTATTTATATTAAAATTTTTATTATTACATATTTCCATAATGGTTTGATTTAATTCTGAAGGTATTATTGGCTCTGGTAAGTCTCTAATCCATTTCTTTAATAGTGATGCCCATGTATGAACATTGGTATCCAAATCATCACTAAATGGGTCGAATCCTTCCGTTGCTAATTGTTCTACTAATTTTAAATTACCATTAACTCTGAACAATCCCTCTGTTTCAAAACCTGTTATAGTTTGAAAAAGAAAAAAAAAAAACAATTAATATTGGACCACCTTGATTAACAAACGTTTTTTAAACATTACCATTTAAATTTTTAATTCTATCCAACATAAAACTTAACACAATTGGTACTCTATTTGATTCATCTTGTTCATCTATATCCTCACCATTTTCTGCATCTTCTTGCTGTTGAAACTCCATTAATTTTTCGATTGAAACACCAAACATACTGAATTGTTCAATACTTTCCTCCTCACCCTCGTACTCTTCCTCATCTTCTTCAATGCCATTTTCTTCTTGATCACATTCCTCGCTTTCACCTCCTTCTTCGCCGTTTTCTTCAGTGTCATGATTTTCATTATTTATTACCTCTTGATTATCACTATTATTTTCATCTTTAAATTCAACATCTTCTTTTGAATTCATTTGTTTTGGTTTATTAAATTCTTTTTTTTCTTCTTTTTGTTCCTTCTCTTCTATTTTCACTTGCTTTTCTTTTTCTCTTTCTTTTTGTTGCTGTTCTAATTTTAATTTCTCTTCTTGTTCTTTTTTTTCAGTTTCTATCATAATATAAGATGTTGTTGCGATATAAATTAATGTTATTAATCCGAATATATATAGAAATTTATTGTTGTTTGTATTTAATGATTGATTATGCATTGATTAGTGTGAAAAAAAAATTTTTAAAAATTTTTTTTTAAAAAATAAAAATAAATTTTAAAAATAAAAAAAATAAAAAAAAAAAAATAAAAAAACAAAAATTGTGATAGGATGTGGGTTGGTGGTTGTTTAAGTTAATTTTGATTTATTTATTATTTTTGATATTAATTTAAATTAAAACACTAAATAGATCTAATTTTTTTCTTTAATTATTATAATTTTTATGTGTTTTTGTTTATGTGGAGAAAGTGTGTGGTATTTTTTTTTTTTTTATTTAGAAATAACTTTTGGTTTTTTTAATATACATATAGGTTAATATAACCTAAAATAAATAATAAATATAACAGATAAATAATATTACAATACAAAAACAAGATAAATTTAAATGAAAAATATGTGGGATTGGAAAACTTTTTTTTTTTGATTGTTTTTGATAAAAAAAAAAAAATAAAAAAATAAAAATAAAAAAAATAAAAATAAAAAAAAAAAAAAAAAATAAAATATCTGGTTTTTTGGTTTAGTGTTATTATAATAAAATGATTAAAATAAAATTATAATATAAAAAATATCAGATCAGAATTTTATGAAAAAACTCGTTATATTTTTTATTTTTTTATTTTTTTTTATTTATTTGTTATTAAAATAATTAAAATTAATTATTATTTATTTATTATTTCTATTTACACATTTTTTTAAATATCCAATATTTAAAAAATATAATTAATTATTATTATTATTGTTGATTAATTGTCAAGTTCAAATGACACTTCATCAGATTCAATTCCACCAATACATTTTGAATATTTTAATGTTGTACCAAATTTGTTTTTTTGAAGTGTAACTGAAGGTGGAAGAAATTTTTCATTTTCTGATGCTTCAGAAATCTCATCTTCAGAACTTGATTGTTTCTTTTGATGTTTTCTTGGCTCTTCATCTGAACTCTTTACTTTAACCTTCTTATTTTTGTTCCTCGGTAACTTTATTGCCCTCTTTTCCTTTTCTGGCTCTTCATCTTCACTTTCAGATTGACTTTCTTTTCCTTTTCTTTTCTTTTTTGATGATTTCAGTTCTAGTGTCTTTTTACTACTACTATTTGTTTTATTTCTTTTTATTGATATTTCATTTTCACTTTCGCTTTCTGAACTTATAGATAAATGTAAACTATTTAATGGTTTTCTGTCTATTGATTTTGACGATGATTTTGGTTGATTCTTTTCTTTTTCTTTTTCTGTTAATTTCAATTTCTCTTTCTTTAATTCAATCTCTTTTGTTAATAATGTAGTTGGTGTCGATTCTATCTCCTCCTCCTCCTCAAGATCTTGGGCTTCAATTTGATCGTTTTCTTTATCATCTTTAAAATTGTTTTGATTTGATTCTAATTTATCAAGTTCTGTTTTAATAGTTTCATGGTTTTGATTAGTCTCTTCACCTCTTACTTTATTTTTTTCTTTTTTTGTTATTTTTTCTTCCTTTTCTTTTTCTGTATCTACATCCTTTTCTTTAATATCATCTTTAACATTTGTAATTTCCTTTTGAATAATTTCTTTTTCTTTTGATTTTATGTTTTTGGTATTATCTTTAACATTTAAATCAGAAGAATAAACAGTCGTTGTAATTTCATCAGGATCGTCAATAATTTCTATACTTGAATCGATTGAAGTATCCAATGGAAATGGAATAGATTCACTTTTATAGACAATTTCATAGGTCTCCTCCTCTTCAAGAGTTGCTGCATCTGGGTTTTGCTCTTTTCTAAGTTTGTAGATTAATCTTTTTAATTCTTTTCTCTTTTTTGTAATTTCTGACACCTTAAACCAATTTGGCAACTCTAATGGCTTATTGAAATCGGTGATTGGATTTTTACAGAAAAGCTCTAAATAATGCAATAAGAATACGCCACAGTCATAAGAGTTATTTTGTAATGGAACATGTGGTACCCTAAGTGGATAGTTTGTAGAATTAAATTCTACCTCTTCAAAGCCATTGTTACCATCTTTATACTTTTTATTCTTCCATTCCAATGTTAAATATTTCCTTAAATTTTCTTGAAAATTAACGCATCTTCTAAAAAGTGAATCTAAATATATCATACATGGTCTTTTCTTATCATTTTCTTTATACTCTTTTACTCTTCCAGGATAACATATAATCATTAAACTCCAATGTGCCCTATAATTAATAATAACAATAATAAAATATTAATATTTTGTAAACATTGTTATATAAATCATTAAAATAAATTTTAATTTTACTTACGCATAATTAATTGGAACAAATACAAAATCTTTTTGAAAAATATCCTCTTTACCAGTCCATTTCCTAACATCTTCGTATCCTTCCTCTGGATTTATTTTGTTTGTAAACTTTTTATAAAAAAAACTATTGAAAAAAAAGCACTTATCTGAAAAGACTTTGTCCAGATGATTGTTTTTGATAAAGATTGAATAAAACTCGATAAGTGAGTCATTTAAAAATTCGCCATCAACCAAACGCTTCATGTCTGCTCTATTGATTTTAACCTGTGAAAGTACCTTTTCTTCGAATGGGTAAGAAATCATAATATCGTTATTATTTACAAGCATTCTTTTTTTCTTTGGTATTGGAGAAACATTTAAAATTGATTCTGGTAGCTTTTCTCCACCTCTTCTGCCATAAGCTATAAGTCCTGAGGTTCTACTCAAAGGTTTAGAGAATCTTTCACTGGTTGTTTTTAGTGATGATGATGTTGAAGTTGATGCTGATAATGATGTTGAAGCTGATGCTGATAATGATGTTGAAGCTGATGTTGATAATGATGATGTCGGATATTCAAACTTGGTCTTGTCCATTTCTTTTAATTTTTCGTACTGTTGCTTAGCATCTTTACTACCATCTTTTAATTGAATTTCAATTCCAAACTCATTCAATTTTGATTTCCATTGCGAGAATGTCATTGATTCTTTAATTTCAAATTCAGATGTTAGATCAGATTTTTTGCCCTTTCCCTTTGCTTGAGTAGATAAAGATTTTCTAAACATCTCAGTCGATACAAACTGAATTTTTTTACCTTGAAATATTGAAAGGTCCCTTATATTTGGATATAATATAAAATCTTCGATATTTTGAGACTGATATTTAATACCACAATTGAAGAATCTAATTTCACCTTCTTTATCATTTTTAAATGCATCTCTTTTCGAACTGGTATAAGGTATTGTAAAAAATGGCTCCCTACACTCTTCTGAAAACTCTTCATATTCCTCATCTGTATACATGGTATGAGATGGTAAAACACTTGGGGTTTGATAGTTGTTATCTTTCATAGAATGAAATATTGAAAAACTGGATGATGAAGTTGAAGATGGTAGCTTTATATTGGTATTGGGAAAAGATGATTTTCGGATCATGAAACCCTTTTTATTGCCATTATCTTCTTCAAAACTATTTTCTTTTAATTCCATAATATCATCTTGTGGAGTTTGTTGTAATTGTGCTTTTATTAGTGGCTTTTCTTTCGATATGCCATCCTCTTTGCTTATTGGTATATTTAATGATTCTCTTGAACTAGTGCCCGTACTATTACCAGTGGCGATATACCTTGGAGTCGCTCTGGTAGTTTGAATGACTGGGTTGGCGTCAATATTTTTCATCTGTTCTTGTAAAAAATCCATTTTATTCTTAAAAATAATATAATTATTTACTAAATATTTTATATTAATATAAACAACTTCATGTAGATCTGACAAATAATATTTAACTGAATAAATAAATAAAAAAATAAATAAATAAATAAATGATAAATAAGTTTATAATTTTAAATTCTTTTATAATTATTAGAGAAAAAATTTAAAAATAAAAATTAAAAAAAAATTAAAAAAATAAATTTTTTTTTTTATTGAAAAAATTTTAAAAATTAAAAGATATTAAAAGGAGGCAATTATAATTCATATTTTAATAAAAATACATCAAATATTACCCATTTTATTTATTTTCAGGCAATGGAATAATGTCTCTTAATTTAGAAATCGAATATTATAGTAAGTAATTTTCAATTTTTTTTTTTTTATTATACAAATAGGAAAAATAATAAAAAAAATATTTTAATTTATTTTTTTTATTTTTTTTATTTTTTTTAAAAATTTATTTCCTATTTAAATCAATTAAATAAAAAAGAATTTTAAAAAATAAAAAAAATTTTAATTATATTAAACTGCTTATTCAAATAAAAAAAACAACTATATTGCCATTTCTCAGTCTTTTATTCAAGCTTTTATTTTATTTTCTTATTATTTATTCAAACAAAATACTTTGTTATAAATAAAGAAAAAGTTTCTTTTTATACTAATATCATTATTTTTTAATGATATCACAACATAAATAGCACTTTAGATAAAACAAATAACTTCTTCACCAACCCCCAAATTTCAATCAATATCTAATATACTTTATTAGAATTTGTTCATAAAAAAAAAATTGTATACAAGCTAACAACCCCAATTTAAACACACACCCACCACACTCACCAATTTGTGAATAAAAAATATAAAGGCATATTAAACACATATGTATAATTTAAACTAGTATGTATATAAAAAAATAACAAACAAATTATATTAGATATAATTTAATATATTTAAATAACACCCCAAAATATTTATAACTAAATTCAAAAAATAACTATTTTCAGCCAAATAAAATTAAATTTAATAATAATAATTAAAAAACAACACCACAAAATTAACTATATTTATTTTATCTGTTAAATATTGTCTTTTAAAAAAAAAAAATTTTCTCCAATTTTTTATTTTAAATTTTTCCTAATATATGTACATAAACAGTATAATATATATTATAATAATTTTTTATTTTTATTTTTAAATTTTATACAACTACTATAAAAAAAAAAAGGTAATTTGGGGTGATTATTATTTTTTTTTAAACTATTTAATCATCACTTTTTTTAAATAAACAATAACTTTAAAATCAAATATTTTAAAACTAATACTAAAATATTTTATTAAATTATTTAAAAATTAGAAGATGGGTAGAATTTTAAAAAGAATATTTAAAGGAAAAGAATATAGAATTATTTTTTGTGGACTTGATTTCGCAGGAAAGTCAAGTCTCCTTTACAAAATGAAATTTGATTTAATTACCACCATTGACCCAACCATTGGATTCAACGTCGAGAAAATCCATAGAAATAAAAAGAAATATAAAATTTGGGATTTAGGTGGCCAATATAATCTAAGACAACTTTGGAAATACTATTTCCTAAACTGCAATGCCCTAGTATTCGTAATCGACTCCTCGGACCGTGAGCGTATAGACGAAGCCAAAGAAGAATTTGATAAACTTATGACCCAAGACGAACTCAAAGGAATTTCATTTCTTATATATGCCAACAAACAAGATATCAACGGTGCAATGTCCTGTGATGAAATTATAAACAAATTAAGTCTACACAAATTAAACGATAGAAAATGGCACATCCAGCCACTAGTAGCGATCAGGGGCGATGGCATTGAAGAAGGTTTAGATTGGATATCAAGATCAGTATAAAAAAAATAAAAAAAAATCTTGTAAAATTAAAAAAAAAGAAAATATTGTAAAACTAAATAAAATTAAAAAAAAAAGTTAAATTTTTGATTAATTTAATTTTAAATTTAAATTTAATTTAAACCATTCTTATAAAATTAATATAAATAGATAAAATATTTTATATTTTTTAATTTTTTTAAATTTTTTTTTTTTTGATTTTTTTTTTTTAATTTTTGTTTTTTATTTTTTTTTTTTTTTTCATTTCAAAACTATTTTTCATTTTATTATTATTTATAGATAATAATTAAATAAACAAAATAAACTAATAAATAAAATGGATAACGTTGTAAATAGTGAGAAAAAGTTAAAAAATAAATTAGCAATACCAATTACAACAATAAAGCAAGATCACAATAACTATGATAAATGTTATTTTCATAAAGCATCATCAACCACAGAAAATGAAATCGATAATGACTATTTTAAAATCAATGTAGGAATCGACTCAAATAATGGTGAAATTAAATCAACCGAAATCCATCTAACAAAATCCGAAGTATTATTATTCCAAGAGTTAATGCATGTTGTACGTAATAGTAATTGTGGCACAACATTAAGAGTTGCTGGTGGCTGGGTAAGAGATAAATTAAGAGGCGACGATTCAAATGACATTGATATAACTTTAGATAATATGATGGGCGAATCATTTGCAGAATTAGTAAACAAACATTTATCTGGTAAACAACATCAAACCCACAGAATTGGTGTAATTCAATCAAATCCCGAGCAATCAAAACATTTAGAAACCGCAACTGTTAAAATTTTCGACCTTTGGATTGATTTTGTAAACTTACGTTCTGAAACCTATACTGATAACTCAAGAATCCCTGAAATTGTAGGTTATTCTATTAATTATAAAAAAATCATTTTCAAATACTAATAATATTGATATTATCTATTTTTTATAGAAAATTGGTACACCATTAGAAGACTCATTAAGAAGAGATTTAACTATTAATTCATTATTTTATAACATCAATGAAAATAAAATTGAAGATTTTACAGGAAAAGCAATTACTGACTTGAATTTGGGTATTATAAGAACACCATTACCACCATTAACCACATTTTTAGATGATCCACTCAGAGTTTTTAGATCAATTAGATTTGCAAGCAGATTATATTTTAAAATTGACCAAGAATTAGTAGAGGCTGCATCAAACGCAGTCGTTAAAGAAGCAATCAAATCTAAAATTTCACATGAAAGAATAGCAAAAGAATTTGATGGAATGTTAGGAGGCAAAAGACCAGATTTAGCAATCTCTTTAATTTATAGATTTGGTATTTATGATTGTTTATTTAGCTTACCAACATCAGGTTTAGACCACACCAAAGTTCATACCGAATATCGTGAACAATCCATCTACTACTGCTCACAAGCTATGAGACTTATTGAATGGGGTAGTCAAGATGAGGAGCTATCAACAAAAAGACAAAGATTATTATCAGCACTCTGTATCCCATTCTATGGTATCACATACTTAAATGCGAATAAAAAGAATAAAGAAACCTCTGTAATCCACTATATGATCATCGAATACCTCAAACTTTCAAATAAAGACAATGATGAAATCTCTTTAGTTTTGGACACTGCTTATCAAATCAGACCTCACGTATTAAAATATAAAGAAGAGGGCCCATCAAGCTTTAGTAGAAAAAATGTTGGTCTCATCATCCATAAATGTGGTGTATTATGGAGAGCTGCTTTAGCAATTGCTTTAATTTTAGATTTACCAAAATACAATTTTAATCATTTTAATTTCCCAACCTGTGATAACAACCAAGTAGATCCAATTGATTATTTAAATCACCAATTCCCAAATTTCGATTCATGTAAATATAATTTTAATTTAATTTTAATTTAATAACTATTACAATATACTAATCTTTATTTTTTAGTGTGCGACGAATCAAATTTAATAATAAACCACTATAATTTATTTTGCGATGAAATTAAAGAACAAGATTTAATAGGTATTTGGAAAATTAAAAGAATGTTAAATGGTAAACAGGTACAAGATTTATTAAATAGAAAACCAGGTGAATGGTTAGCCCCTGTGGTTCAATCTATTTTAGAATGGCAATTAGAAAACCCAACTTTAAATGAAAACGATTGTAAAAAATGGTTATTAGAAACTTTTAAATAAAATAAAATATTTTTATATTTATATAGATGATCAAATCAAATAAAATAAATGCTACATTTTATGTATTTTAAAATATTTTTAAATTATATAAAATTCTTTTTAAAAAAAGGTATAATAAAATCCACTGTTAAAAATATATATTTAAGTTTTGTTTTTTTTTTTTAAAAAGGTTTTATTTTTATTATTATTATCAAAGCAATTCCTTTAGATGAGACCGATTTTGTTGGCAACATCAGCAGCTTCGAATTCTGGGGATAAAGTGACGAAAGCTTTTTTGTCACCACGTGGGGTAATTAAAGTGTTGACTCTCTTGACTTTGGCTTCGTACATTTTGGTGAAAGCATCAGCGATTTGAGCTTTGTTGGCGTACATATCAACCATAAAAGTGATGGTGTTGTTGGCTTCAATCTTTTGGGTGGCAGATTCAGTGGTTAATGGAGCTTTTAAGATTCTGAATTGATCCATTTTGGTAACTTTGTTGACTGAACGTCTTGGGTAAGCTGGTTTCTTTGGGTTGATTAAAGTCTTTGGACGTCTAAAATGAGTGTGATAATTTAATTAGATTCTGTCATATATTATCTGTATGCTGTTTTTCTCATTCCACTTTTTTTTTATTCGCTAAAACCTATATATTAATAACATACCTGAAGATGACTGAGGTTCTGACTTTACGGGTAGATTTGTTTGAAATACCCTTTTTGACAGCGGTAGCAGCAGCTTTAGCTTTGGTAGCAGCAGCTGGGGTTTTGATAGCGGTGGTGGCACCTTTCTTGACGGAGAGATCTTGCTTTAATTGGTTTGATTTGACTCTATAATAAATATAAGAGATTAATACCTGTTTGATGATAGATTTAGTGTGAATGTTATGTGTGATAGATAAGACGAAGGATATAGTGACAACATAAAAAAACGAAAGGGGTATGGATAGTGTGCATGTGTGTTGTGTGTTTTGTTGGATATGTGTGGATATTTGTGGATAATTGATGATTGAATGGATAAATTGTCAAATGTAAGATGATTGAATGGATTATATGTGATAAAAACAAATAGCAGCATGTACGTACTTCTTTGTCATTTTTATCTTTATCTGTGTCCTCAACGAAAAAAACAAAATATTAAAAAATAAAAATTAAAAAAAAAACTAGGCTATGCGCAAAAAATTTTTTTGATAATTTTTTAAATTTTTACATATAAAAAAATTTATGAGGATTAATTGATTTTTTTAAAATTATAAATTTTTTTTTTTTACTTTTTTAATTAACGTTAGTCCTATTCCGCATTTTAATTATGTAATATATATTTACTAATTATTTATTAATTATTTATATTTTTGCCATAAATAAAATTATTTTAAATATATAATTATTTTCTATTATAAATTATTTTTTTGAAAAAAAAAAAGTATCGTTAACAAAAAAAAAAAAAATTTTAATTTAAAAAATTAAAAAAAAAATTTTATTTAAATAATTTAAAATAATAATATAATTTCCTTATTTGTTTTTTTTTTATTTTTTTTATTTAAGTGTTTCAGTAATTTCTTTTTTTCATTTTATAAGAAATGTTTTTTTTTTTTTTATTTTTTTTTATTTTTCTTTTTTCTTTTTTTTGGAAAATTATGTGTATTTCTAAAAATATTCAAACAAACCAATCGAATATACAATCAATAAAACAAACATACCTAAAATATTCAAATAAATATTCAAATAATTTAAAAATTATACAGTTATAAATTAAATAAAATCATGGAAATTAAAAAAAAATAAAATAAAAAAAAAAACGAAAAATTTTATTCGTTTTTTTTTTAAATTAATCATTTTTTTTTAATTTTTTTTTTTATATTTGCAATATACACTTTTTTTTTTTAAAATAATATTATAAAATGGAGTTTAAAAAATATGAAGAGTGGATGAACAAAAGTGGATGGAAAAGAGGACAAGGTCTTGGTAGAAATGAAGATGGTTTAACAAAAGCAATTCATATTGATAAAAAAAACAACACTTTGGGTGTAAGTATTTATAAAATAAAATAAAATATGGTAGCTAATCATTTACTAATAGTTTTAAATAATATTTACATATTTAGGTTGGTAGTACAGGTTTTAAACATGATAATACATGGTGGGATAGAGTATGGGAAAATAAAACAATTGGAACTAATGACCAAAGTGATATATTTGAAACCAGAGAAACATTTTCTAATGGTCAAGAAAAAAGAAAAGAAACAGATAATAAAGAGTTTGAATCACTTAGAGATGAAATGTTAAAGAGGGCTAATGAAAATGGAAAGAATAAAGATTTAAAGTTTGGTACTTTTAAAAAAGCAACCATGTTATTAACAAGTGAATTAGAGGAAGAGTATGCAGAAATGAAAAGAACTGAAGAAAAAGAAAAAGAAAAAGAGAAAAAAGAAAAGGAAGAAAAAGTTCAACCAGAAACAGCCAATAAAGTTAAAGAAAAATTAAAAGAAGAGTTTGATGCTTGTAAAAATAGAACATTAAGAAAATATGCACCAATTGGTAAATTAGAAAGATTAAAAGCACAAGATGAAGGTCGTTTTGACATTTCTACATTAGGCGGTGAAGGTTATAAAAAATATGAAGAGGATAAAAACAAAATAAAAGAAGAGCAAAAATCACATAAAAAGTTAAAAATAAATCATAATAGTGAGAATGATAGTATCAAAATTTATAAACAAGATGAAGAAAAAGAAGAAGAAAGAGAAAATAAAAAGGAAAAGAGGGATAAAAAAGAAAAAAAAGAGAAAAAAGAAAGAAAAGATAAAAAAGATAAAAAAGATAAGAAGGAAAAATCAAAAGATAAATCATCCAGTAAAGAAGAAAAATCAGATAAAAAAGATAAAAAAGATAAAAAAGAGAAATCAAAAGATAAAAAAGATAAATCCTCCAGCAAAGAAGAAAAATCAGATAAAAAGGAAAAAAAAGAAAAAAGTAAAGAGGGTGCCAAGGAAGAAAAGAAAGAAAAGAAAGACAAAAAAGATAAAAAAGATAAAAGCGATAAATCAAAAGATAAAATAGAGGAGGAAAAAACAGATAAAAAGGAAAAAAAAGAGAAAAAAGAAAAGAAAAAAGATAAAAAGAAAAATTAATAAATTATATATTTTTTTTTTAAAATATTAAATAATAGTCTATTATTATTTATTTATATTTTTATATTTTAATTATTTTTTATTTTTTTTTATTTAAAATTATTAAATAATCATTGTGTAATAAGTAACTATTTTAATTTTTGGATTAATAAGGCACCTAATAAATTGGCATCTTTTAATGTAGTTGAAAATGGTAATGTAATTGGTTTTTGTGGGAAGCCAGTTAAAAGATCATAGCTTTGGGATGAACTTGTAGAGTTATTGATATAGTTGATAACGTCTTGGATAGTATGGGTTTGATTAAATGTGCTTGAAAGTCTACCGCCATTGGATAAACGAATTTGAAGAGTGGTGGTTGGTTGTGAGGAATCAATTGAAACTGGGGCTGATGATGTGGTAGTGGTTGTTGTGGTGCTACCGGTATTGGATGAGGAGCTAGTGGTGCTGGATGAACCTAAAGATTGACCACCACCAGAGAATGCTACATATTTTGGTTTTGGTGGTTCGACATAGTCTTGACCGTGATTATTAATTAAAGTTACACTAAGACCATTTGGAGTTGTGGCTCTCTTTTGAAGTTCACGTGGAACAACACCTCTTTGAATATCTTGAATTAATTCTTTATTTTCTGGATTGTCATAGTGACGAAGTGGACCATCATCAATGGTGAAACCTTGATTCCAAAAAGTAACTTTAACTTCAACAGCCTTTGGGTCTTTTTCTTTTGGTTTTGAAACACCACGGTTGCCTTGATCAGTTGATCCTAATTGATAGCCAACACAATCAAATGATTCTGGTTTTTCAACTTTTTTTTCGTGAGCTGCGACGGCACCATGTTTTTTAGCACTATCAAATACATCATTAACAATGTCACCGCTTTTGCCTTTATTCTTTGGGGCTGATTCTACCATAAGACCACTCTTTTCACCACCAGTAAAATATCTTTGGGTTTTATCTTCATCTTCATCATCTTCATCATCTTCATCATGATCGTGATCGTGGTCATCATTATTAAAATCTGATAATGTTCTAATTCCACCTCTGTTTGATGAGCTTGTTGATTTATTTGGTGGTGATGATGATGGTGGTTTATTTGAACTTGTTTGTCTATTTACATTATTATTATTATTATTATTATTATTATTATTATTATTATTATTATTATTATTACTGCTAATATTATTATTATCGTCTGTTATGTTTGAAACATCATTGGTTGATAAGTAAGTTTGAGTAGCTTCCTATAATTATAAAATAAATATTTAAAAGTATTAATTAATGGGGATGAATAATAGAATGAATGGTTTATTTTTAAAAACATGTATGTAATGTACCTCTAAATCCCAATTATGACTTTCTAAATAAAATCTTGCTTCTGGTTCTGAAGCATTTGTTATTTGTTGAAATGTTGAAATGGCTTCACTTTGATCCATTATTTGTTATTTGTTTATTTCTTTAATTTGTTTTTTTCTTTGTGTGTGATGTGAATAAATTAAAAAAAAATTTAAATTAAAAATTTATAAATTTTTTTTTTTAAATAATATTTTTTTATTTTTTTTTATTTTTTTTTTAATATTTTAATTATTTTTTTTATTTTTTTATTTTTTTTTATTTTTTATTTTTTATTTTTTATTTTTCTTTTAATTTCATTTATTGCTTTGAGATAATTTCTCTATCCAAAATAAATATTTGTTTATTTATTTATTTTGTTTATTAAAAAATAAATAACAATAAAAAAAAAATAAAAAATAATACACAGAATGGGGGTTGGCGAAAATAATAATAATAATTCGAATAATAATGCCAATGGTTCAAATAATACTACATTAAATAGTTCATGCAATAGTACATCATCATTACATAGTGGTTTAAATTCAAATAGAAATAATTTAACATCATCTACAGCATCATTAACAAACATTCCAACTATTATAACAACTTCACCATCATCTTCATTAAAGAATAGTAATAGGTCAATAGTTTTAGCTACATCATCATCCTCAGTTAATTCGACAACAAGTAATAATTTAACATCATATGACGAGGTTGAAAAAGGATTCAGGGTACATGAGGAAGATGAGGCAGTCGAATTAAACGAATCATTAAATGAATTTAACAATGAAAGCAGGGTTGGTGTCAGTCGTGACGATAGTGACGTTGGCGAGGCTCAGGAAGAAGATGATGACAATAACAAGAATATGGAATTTAAATTCGATTTGGATTTGACAACAATTAATGTAATGGACGATATCGATGACTTTGAAAAGAAATTATTGGAATATTCAGAAAAAGAACAAGTAGTTCAAGATTTCAACAAAAATAACATAGATTTAATTCAATATTCAAAACAGGTAGGAGAATCACTAGAAAAATGTGACAAAGAAATGAATGCACTCTATCAAGATATTTTACCCGATTGTAAGTATCATATAGTTTTTTAAATATATTCTCTTGGTTTAATTATTTATATTTATTAATATTTATCATTTGTCTAGATGTTAATGAAAGGGAAAACTTTCATTTAATGTATAAAGCAATCACAGAAAGCAAGTCTTTATTGGTTGGATTTGAAACAATGTTAAATGGTTTTCAAAATGAATTAACAAGTATTTCAAAAGAAATGCGTACATTACAAGAATTATCAATAAATGAAAATTTAAAATGCACAAACAGAAAAAAAGTAGTTGAAAAATTACATAAAATTATTGACGAGGTTTCAATTTCAGATGATTTAATAACGTATGTATATCGTAACACCTTTATATTTAAAGTTAAAAATATACTAATTCTTATTTGTTTATAGTTTATTAACACAGGGTGAAGTTAATGATCAATATTTACAATATCTATCAATCTTTAGTAAAAAAATTGGATATATTCAAACACAAAAAAGCGAAGGTGTATTTGCCACAGGTGAAGTCGAGGAGGTTATATTAAAGTTACTACAGGTTGTATTGGATAAAATATTCAAATTTTTCAATAACCAATTTAACCAAATTAAAGATATATCAACATTACAAACTAAACAACAAGAGATGACATTATATAGACAAGCATTCATATTTTTATATAAACATACACGTAGGGTTGCTAAACAATTATTTGATCAATATAAAGAAATAGCGGCAGGAATCTATTCAAACTACTATCGTAGCTATATCACTTTTTTAGAAAAACTTCAAATAGAGCCAACTACACGTAACGATTTAATTGGGATGCACGAGAGCAAAACCAAAGGCTTTTTCAATAGCAAAAGCAACAAATTAAAGATTAAAACAAGTATATACACTGTTGAAACTCGTTATCAAATTTTAAACGAGTTAGAATATCCTCCACTCAAACCCCAATCAATTGGCTCCGAATCATCTGCCTCATCAACACAGATCAAATATTCTTATGAAGTAATCTTTAGATCACTATTGTTTTTCATTATTGATTTAGTGTCATATGAAAACATGTTTTTAAAAGATTATTTCTTAAGTAACAAAGATAGCTCAACTTTATTATTTAGCAAACCTGAATCATTATTTGTTGTATGTATGATAAATAATTAATAATTATGATGATAATAATATTAATTTTTTTTTTTTTTTTTTTAGGAAAATATTAATTGCTATTTATCATCAACATATGATATTGTTGCATTATTATTAATTTTATGTATTACTAGTAAATATAAGAGCAGGACTACTAGATCGGACTTGACTGATAGATTATTTCAATTTGTAATAAATAGTACAATTTCAAGATTAACAATTTTATTTGAGGAAAACATTTCAAGTATTAGAAGTGCAAATGTTAAAGAGCTATTACCAATCGAGGAGAATAGACCCCATTATATAGTTAGAAGATATAGTGAATTAGTTGGTTCATTTGCAGTATTATATAATTTAAACCAACCACCAACACCAATTCAACAATCACCAAGAAAAAAATATTACAACATAGAAAATAATGAAACTATAAATAATAATGATCAAGAAAATAAAATAGAGTCAAATAATAAAACAAATGAGAATAATAATGATAACAACACTACAAATGGTACGAATATAAATAATAATAATAATAATAATAGTAGTAGTAATAACAATATAAATAAATTTAATTTTAATAATAATAAAACTCAAGAATCAACATCACTATTGTTAAATATTAAAGAATCACATTCAATTATAAATGAAAATTTAGCAATTATGCGTGTCGAAATGTTTAAATTAATAAACAAGTTATCAGAAGAGTTGAAAGGATCTATACAAAAACATATATTTTTATTAAACAATTATGATCTAATTTTAACAATTCTCAGCGATAAATTAGGTCCCAACGATACAAATGAAGATAAGGAATACTGGACTATTCTCTACGACAAAGAGGCTGAACAATACTGCACCGAGCAATTAGGATCATTCCAATATATCAAAAATATTATAAATACAGTTAAAGAATTATATCCATTAATCGAACTTTACACCATAGAAGAAATCAACCATCCAAAACTCAAAAAAGAAATACTAGAAGAAATTCTTAAACAGTTTTCACAAAATTGGAGGGTCGGTATCGAAGAAATGAACATCATTGTAACCCAACAATTCCCAAATTTCAAAAATGGTATGAAAATCTTTCAAATGATGCTTGATAAACTATTTACAAACTATAAACAATTCACCCAAATCATTTTAAAATTTTTTAAAAATTTAAAAACTTCCCCATTTTATTTAGCAGAAACAGAAATTTCTTATGAAATTAAAAAATACTATGGTTCATTTGATTAATAATTTATTAATAAAATATTATTTTTACCAAAAATAACAAATAAAAAAAAAAAAAAAAAAAAAAAAAAAAATTTTAATCATATTGGATATTCTTTGGAATTTAATAAAATTTTGGGAGCGTTTTTTCTTTTTTGATTTGGTTATTCAGGTCGTTAAGGGAGGGTGCTTTCCGGGGAAATTGTTTCCTTTAAAGGGGTTGGTAAATAATTTTTTAAAAGGTTTTTAAAATAAGATAAAGATGAGAACTCTAATCATACCTCATAATTCAAAACCAGGAAGTGGGGGGGGAGTTTTTTTTTTATTTTATAATAGAAAACGCACAAACAGATGTTTTTGTTCTTTTTTTTTTTTTGAAAAAAAAAAAAAAAATTTTTTTTCAAAAAATTTTTTTTAAAAAAATTTAATTTTTTAGAAATATTATAGGTGAGGAAATATATTTCCACCGATTTTGGGATTTTGGGGCCACACCCTTTTTTATGAAAAAA